CCCAAAGGACAGAATGGAACAATAAAAGAGAGAACCCTGCAAAAGTTTTTTGCTCACTGACAAAACTAACCTCAAACCACAGGACATTTACTTTCGAACAGAGAAAATGAAAAGAGAAATGAAAAACAAAAAGAAATTTAAGGAAAAAACTTGGTACCTCTGAATCTCTTCCGCTTAATTATATAAATGCTAAACTGTAAGTTGAATGCAACCTTAATTGTGAGGACAGGATTTATTCAAACCCCTAACCGAAACATTATTTACATTATTCGGACTATTATCCTCATCTTTGTTGCCATCATGTTTCAGCCGTTGTACGCTCCGGCCTTCTTCAGGTGGTTGGAATGTCGAACTGAACCCTTTATTTCGCTCACTGGGGTAGACTGTTCTACGTGCCATATATAATGGATGTCACTTATCAGTTATCTGTTAATTTCCCTCTCCAAATTCTCCACTGCCTTAACCGGGTATTGAACTCACACTCTTTGGGTTCTGTTTCCATGTGTCCTCAAGGATACATGGCACATTGGATAAAGGCGTTAGTTACATCCAGTGACAAGACCCAAATCATTAACTTCACTAATCTGTTTTTTGTATGAATGATTAAAGTTATATATATATATATATATATATATATATATATATATATATATATATATATATATATATATATATATATATATATATATATATATCTTTGCCCTGACGATCTGTTTTTGTGAAACCTAGGTAGGTTTGTTTGGCTCATTAGGTTTATCTTAGGTTTGCTCTACTTCGTGTATTGAACACTTTGTGTAGTTGCCTTTACTTATTTTGGAGTTTATTTTTCTCTGGACTCTGAACTTGAACTCTGGACGATTGTTTTCGCCTTAGTTTCATGTCCTTGGTTCTTTCTTTTTGTATTCCTCATTTTTCCTTGGGTACGGGTTTGTTCTACTACATGTCGAACTATCCAAGGATTTTGCAAGTGAGTACCACCATTTTTATATATATATATATATATATATATATATATATATATATATATATATATATATGTGTGTGTGTGTGTGTGTGTGTGTGTGTGTGTGTGTGTGTGTGTGTGTGTGTGTGTGTGTGTTGCTTAGTCTGGAAAAAGGCACATATGCGGTACGCTCCCAGAGAATATAACTGACTCTAATAGTAATTATCAAGCAAATCAGGTGTGATAATTACATGGACAAGGTGAGACGTTAGATAGATAGATAGATAGATAGATAGATAGATAGATAAATAGATAGATAGATAGATAGATAGATAGATAGATCTAAACAGATTGAGATAGATAGATAGATCTAAACAGATTGTGATAGATAGATAGATAGATAGATAGATAGATAGATACATCTAAACAGATTGTGAGAGATAGATAGATAGATAGATAGATAGATAGATAGATAGATAGATAGATAGATAGATCTAAACAGATGTGAGAGATAGATAGATAGATAGATAGATAGATAGATGAATAGATCTAAACAGATTGTGATAGATAGATAGATAGATAGATAGATAGATAGATAGATAGATAGATAGATAGATAGATAGATCTAAACAGATTGTGGGAGATAGATAGATAGATAGATAGATAGATAGATAGATAGATAGATAGATAGATAGATAGATCTAAACAGATTGTGAGAGATAGATAGATAGATAGATAGATAGATCTAAACAGATTGTGAGAGATAGATAGATAGATAGAGAGATAGATAGATAGATAGATAGATAGATAGATAGATAGATCGTCTTTACGCATTATTATATACGTAGTACTTTATATATCATTATAAGAAATGAGAATTATAAATCTTATAAAGGTCGCTTCAGTTCTCACAAAATAATACATCTTCTCAGGCCCGGAAACATAGATTTGGACCTGTGTCGCTTTGATTAAATGAACCATACATCACAATTACTTAAATTTTGTTCATTTACTTATTCTTAAACAGATGATTTAGCTTTCGTTTTCCCCTTTTTGGTTATTATTCTTTCTCTTTTTCATACACATTTACTTACCTCTTTTTGCCTTCACCTTTTATCTGGCACTGACAGCTGTCGTTAAAAAACATAAAAGCCTGTCTTGATTGTGGACGCTAATGGACGTTTTGAGGGTAAAAAGCTCCGTGCGTTTTTTTGATTAACAAAAGAAGAAATGGAAATCAAAACAAGAAGAAAACAACAAAAAAAAAAGATTACTATCGCGTGGCTCTTTGTTTAAAAGCTCAGACATTTCAATTGCGAGATTTTTAGTTGCGATTGTATTAATTGCACAAGTACGTGGTGGGGCAAATGTCTGGCTGTCTGCAAACGACTTGACATTTGTAAGCGCCATGCTTCAATGCGTTCCGTAACTCATCGACTTCCGATGACATGAACATTTCTGACATGAACTTAGCCCTAATTCCATTGCAGGGAAGGATAAATTAGTCATGAGTCCAAGTACATTTAGTTTTTTTTTACAAGTAGATTATATTAGGTTGGGTCATACCCGAAAACAAGGTTGGTATACATGGAATAAAATTCCAGTAACCAAAAATATTACTTTAAAAAAAAAAAAAAGAGAAAAAAGTGCTCAGTACAAAGTAGAGCGGATTTTATGTATTTAAATATTAAAACATAAGTATGTTATAACTTCACTATAATGTAACTAATTTTGTAGCCATATATTGCACCTCTTACGTCCGCTCAGATTCGAACGGAAAACTTAGTTATAAGTTAAATCATACATTTTAGATGCATCAAGTGTGATCTTCAGAGATGTCACTGTTCTCATCGCCGATTTCGGGTTTCGCATCGTATCGGCTTCAACAGCAACCCCGACCTGATTCTAGACGAGTCAGGCCGCCTCCTTGAAAGCGTCATGCTACGCACCACGACATTGCAAAAAACAATAATCATACGAATTAACAAGGCCGGACTTCTTATTGACATATGTCAGTCAACGTCAGCCAATGAAAACAGGGCTTTTCACGCTCTTCTACTATATACTGTTGTCTTTTTTCTCCATCCGGTTTAGATTTACTACTTCCGGAATCCATAGCAAGGTGAGTTCATATCTTTATTGCATTGTTTAAGCCCATGTTTTACATATTAAATACTAATCCAATAGCGATACTAAATCTTTAACTAAACCTACCCGCGTACCCAACCCAAATCTATCCTATACTAGAACTTTCTAAAAAGAAATTCGCTATTCTAACTATCGGGTCAATCTGTAAAGCTTACCTTATACTCTTATACAAATAAAATAACACACACAATTTTTTTTTTAAATAAAAAAGTAATAACATATTACTAAGAACAATACATGAATATTTAGGCATATTTTCTCCGTTTTTTTCTTTGAATAATTTTGTAAGTTTCTAAACTTTATGCAGTGTTATATTTAGAGTTTAATATTCGTAACTTTTATTTATTTTTTTAATTACTCATAATTAGGAGATTAATTAGTTATCCTGATTTCCTATATAATCTAATATAAAAAATAATTTTAAAGCATCAATAAATTGTATCTAGGGCCGTTGCCAAGTTATTTAAATTATCATATACTTGTAATTTGATTGGCCATTACATCCTACGTAAAAATATTCACTCTAGTTGGGGTAGTGGTTCGTTTTGAACTCTTTAAAAACTTTCTTTTTATTTTACAATCAACACCGTCACTTGCCAAAACACCAGAAGCGTTGAAACAAAATGGCTGCTTTTGTAATGATGTTATAACATATTTATGTTATAACTTTTTAAATAGATATTAGGATGGGTAATATGATTTTGTTTTGGTGAACCAACTGTAATGATGAATGTTTCATCCTAACTACTAATCAAGCGTGATAGTTAAGACTAAATTTGGAGTACACTAGTAAAGGGGTCGGCAACCTACGAAACGCGTGCTACACGTGATACGTCAAGCAATTTTCAATGGCACGCAGCCGCAATGACATCACGAAGTCCGAACCAATAACTGCTACAACGCAAAGAAGATATTTATCTGTTCCAATTTTAATATATACTAAAGTATATATACTGTATATTACTATATAAGATATATTGCCGAAAAAATATACTGAACTTGACTTCTATAAAAATACGAACCTTTTAACTTTCTGTCCTGGAATAACAAGGTGCCGTACAGGTTTCACGTACGATTTCATTTTCGTGTCTTTTTTCAATGCTCACTGGACTGTCATAGCTGAAACTCCTCCCTCATGTGCCAAACGTCTTATGGATTGAGTTGGATCTTTTCTAATCTATTTAATTCTAAGTTTTTAATGATGATACCTCTTGCTGTTGTGACCTCCTTATCCAGTGTTCTTCACAATTTTTTACACTTTTTTAAACTTATTCACGGTTCTCTTAATGGTTCTTGAATAGACTTTGAAGATGGAAGCATGAGCATGAATGTTGGTAACATAATTGAAGACCTGAATCATCTTTTTCCTCTCACCAACTCAAGTGATTCTTACAATAAAGTGTATCAAGATGGCTAACCGCCTCATCTGAAAGCCTGAAAAATGAAACTCAATTAGTTTAGTGGTTTTTTTTATATATTAAATACTAGCAGCATGGCCCATCGTTGCCCGTGCTTGATTCAAAATCGTACGACTCATACAGCAATCGTTATCACTTGACTTAAAATAATTTTGCCCTTCCTTATCTTTAAAGGAGTGCCCTTTGCCGTGCTGATGTTGTTACATGCCTTATTTCTTGCCTATCTCACACTGCGAATTTTTTCTAAGCTCTATACTAAACATTAAATCTGTTACGAAAAAAGAACTAAACAAAATGAACACAAAACGATCAGCTTTAAAAAGGGACTCGTAACTGGAAAAACCGAATGAAAAAAGAATGTTAACAACAAATACTTTTTCACACCCAACCCAGTTCTGCGGAATCAGAATCAACGTTGAGTTTAAGCAAGCGAATGAGCCAATTGGAGTAAAGTGCCATGCAGATTTAAATTTTCCCACTTGTGACGAATGCAGCTATCGATTTTTTTGCATGCTAGCATTCGTGTCAGTCAGCTGTTGGCTCTCACGCTGGCCAATAGAATCTTCCTGCCTATTCGTGGCAGCCAGCTATAGGCTCTCAATCTGGCCAGTAGAAAATGGCCGCAAACTCCATGAAAACCGCCGTAGAAGCATGAAATGGGAGTTGGGAAATGCAAAGTTGGCCTTCCCGCTAAGTTGGAGCATGTGCATATAAATTTTGGTGCAAATCCGTCGAAAATTGCGGCTGTGCATTCGTTACACACACACACACACACACACACTGCCTTTTATAGATAGAGATTTTGTGGGATAGATAATTATGCTGTTACACCCGGTATATGTGCACCTATCTGTCATCCGTTATATACACATAGATATGAATATATACTAGAGGGTGCTAAAAATATCTCGGGAAAATTGGCTCAAGTCAATGTTTAAATATCATAACTGGAGTGGGGGGGAGTGATTTGATTTTTGTATGGCTTATCACACCGTTTGTATGTTATTTTAAAACCGAAACTTATTTTGAAATGTAAGAACATTTTTTGTGGTGGGGAGTCAAGTGAATATTGTACTAGATCGTTCCGAGAAAAACAATGATTTTCTAAATGCCAGTCTCTCTACGGAAATGGATTCATACCTTTCTCGAGGCTATTTGTGCGTAAGCGAAGGTAAAGATCCCAAAAGGAATGCGAACTCAGTTCTCATTCAGAGCTGTTAACCATCAGACCTCACGCACATATCTGGGTGAAGAGAAAACGGAAGAAAAAAAAAACCCTCAAGAACTTTGCTGGATATAAATGATTTTAAATTTAAGGATTTCACTATCTCGGTCACTGCAGGCGAATGCCTTAAGCTTAAAGTGGTAGGAAAAATTGTCACCTAACTAAAAAAAAAAAAAATGTAAAACATATGACCACACAGGTATGTTGGAAATATATCGGATTTCTTAAATATATATTTTTTATCTGTCTATATTTCTTAGATGAGGTATTATGTAGATTATTTACATTATTCGGACTATTGTCCTCATCTTTGTAGCCATATTTATCACAACGTTTCGACCGTTGTACGCTTCGGTCTTCTTCAGGTGGTTGGAATGTCAAACTGGACTCTTTATTTCGCTCACTGGGGTAGACTGTTCTAGTTCCACTTGCCATGTATAGTGATTTTCGAACCGTAGCTTAGAAGTGGCACAAGGCCGAAAGTAGGGGGTACCCAGTGAGGATCGAACTCACAATTCAATCGTAATTGCTCTAGCGAGACAAGCTTGCTAGCCATTACACCTCCTCGAGGTGCCCTACTTGCCATGTATAATGGATGTCAGTTATCAGTTATCTCCTGTTAATTTCCCCCTGAAAGCAATAATAACAACAAAAGTTGCCATATGAGCTCTGGTAAAATCATGTATCATTGCATGTTTTTGCCAGAGCTCATATTGCAACTTTTGTTGTTATTATTGCAAAAATTGCAATATGAACACTGGCAAAACTGCTGAAACATTAGGTTTATAATACCCAGAAATTCATACGCAAGGGCACATGGCACAGTGGATAAAGGCGTTGGTTAGATCTAATGACATGACCGAACGATTTTATGTTCAATACCCGGTTAAGGCAGTGGCGTGGTAGAACTTTCATACATACATATTTCTAAGATTTCTGCCATATTTATCACAACGTTTCGACCGTTGTAAGCTCCGGCCTTCTTCAGGAGGTTGAAATGTCGAATTGAATCCTTTATTTCGCTCGCTGTAGTAGAACAGTCTACCCCAGCAAGCGAAATAAAAATTTCAGCCGAAACGTTGTGATAAATATGGCAACAAAGATGCGAGTGATAGCTCGAACATATATATATATATGTGTGTGTGTAAATAATCCAAGGGAATCCTAATAATATTAAAACTGATCCACAAAGAGGTCAGTGTATTTATTACAGTACATATATTGTTGATCCCAATTCTTGCGGGGAGACAGAGTTATACATATGGAACATTTTAAATTCTCTTATATGCAATTTATATATATATATATATATATATATATATATATCTTTCGAACCAACACCTGATTTTTGTGCCTAAATGTAGAAAAACCGACCCAAGAATAGATACGCAAATCGAATATCTGGACACTGGTGACTAACCAAAAAAAATCCTCTTGTTTTTTTTTTGTTTTTTTTTCAAAAGCAAATGTGATACGAACGATCGATACTTGTGTCGATTTCCAAGTCTGTACATTTCTGATTGGATCGAAGTCTAATCTGGTTCGATCAAAATCAAAAGCAGTCTCCTCGTGCCAGCTGAACGGGAAAACAGAAATGCCAATAGGACGCAGACTACGCGCGACACGTCATGGCAAGGCATGTGGGGCTGCGTAATTCAAGAGTGGCTTGTTACGTTGCAACTCTTTCCAAGGTGGGGCAGATACCAGAAATCGAGGAAGAATATAAGTAATGTTTAATAAAACTCTTTAATGCAGTGAGGAAGGAA